ACCCAACATGTGGCATTAATCAGGTTCCCTTGACTCCCTTCAAAAAAAACCCCTGCTTTCTTCCATCCAGCCACTCTTCTATCCAATTAGCTAACTTATCTCTCCACCTATAGAGATAATTTTTTTTATGCAAGTCTTTTATGTGGCACCTTGTCAAAAGATTTCTGAAAATCCAGATATACTGAATATATACCCTTACCCTCATTTACATAAACAGTAACTTTTTCAAAGAATCTCAAAAGATTTGTTAGGCAAGATTTTCCTTTAGTGAAGCCATGTTGACTATCCAATAAAATTCTGAACTTTGTTAAACGACTTTGCAAAGCATCTTTTATCAGATTTTCCAAAGCTTTTCCCACAACTGATGTAAGAGTAGTAGGCCTATAATTACTGGGACAACTTTTGTCACTCCCTTGAAAAGAGGAGTAACATTAGCCAATTTCCAATCATCAGCCCACTATTCAAGGACTTACAAAAAATAGTAGCAAGTGGCTCACATATCCAACCCCTAACCTCCTTCAAAACCCTACTGGAAATATTATCTGGCCCAGGAGCCTTATTGTTCTTTATAATTTTTTTTTGTAACAAGCTCAGAATAATGTGATCATCTTGTTCCACCTGTCAACTGATCAAGATGAGGAATATTGCTTAAATCATCTTTAGTAAAAACTGAAGATCCAAGTAAAAAAAACACCTTTTTGCTTTTTCATATCTTATGTTATTTTCAAAATTTTATAGTAAGTATAATCTTTAGTTGTCTGTTAATTTTTTTTATCCTTCATTCATTAGATATTTTACATTTTTTCAATATTCCAGTCAAAATACATAAAACAAAGCCAATTTCCACTTATCAACAAGTCTGCTGAAGTACTCCAGGTGGCATCTCCTTCTCTAGAAACATTTGAAGCTACTTACATGAAGCAGCTGCAACCAGTTATTATCACACAAGCAATTGATTATTGGCCTGCATTGTCAACTCATCGTTGGAGGTTGGTACTTTACTTTGCCAAAAATATTTTTTCTTGCATTCTTTTTCCCTAACTTGCAGGCATTGTTATTGAAACATTGTTGCCAATCTATTAGTGTTGCTTTCCTCGTTTTAAGCCATAGAAAGAATCATCTCTTCGTTACCTGCCAGAAAATGGCACAGCAGCGTAAAATTTTTTATGTCAGTTACAGTCACTGAACTAATTATTAATCCATTATCTACATAAAGAAATTTAAAGTAATTTTAAATTTTATGTAATTTATACTCACTAAATAATCAATTACCCATAGCTTTCACAAACTGGAATGTCATTTGCACTTTATGCCATTTACATTCTGGATCACAGAGCAGTTTTTAGGTGTCATCTGCATATTAAATTTTTAAATATAAGTAATAGATAATAATCCTAGTTCTCTTTCAGCAATATTTAACTTTAAAAATATTTTGGAAGTGATATTTTGTCATTTTCAAACATTGTTTTTTTGTGTAATCACAAAGAAAAATGGAAAAGTATTCCAATTTTCATTTTTGCTCTGTTCCAAGAAGTCATGCCTGTGAACAACACACTTATTGATTTGTTTTCTATCCATCCCAAAGTAAATGCTTTAATTTGCTACAAGCTAGGTTATGAATTTTTAAAAATGTGAGGGTGGATACTATCATAAATAACACAAAAATCCTAACTTTCACACAACTTATTTATAACATCACATATTATTACAGTATTTACAATTATCCACTATTACCTCACCAAAAGTTTTTGTATAAGCTTTAAGAACTCATTATGTATATACTTAAAACATGGTATACACTGTGCGATGGTCAGGTTGACTTTGTAGGAAGAGGTAGTGGTGGTAGGTGTGCTTTCTGTTACCTGCTTTCAACACCCAGCTCTTAATGTCCTTCCACAGTGTTTCACATGATTAATTAATTGATGTTCGTTGGCTGCATAAGCGTCTTACAGGTCAAAGTTGAAAGGTCACAAGACAAAGTAGAAAGTGGGTAGAACTCAAGAAATGGCTCTTTATATTAGCCTTATTTTTTCATGGCATTCCTACATAGAGAGTGCTAGTGCATTCTGTGAGATATGTAAACCGTTTGTGTTCCTTCCCCAAACCCTGCCTCTATGTAATGTTATAGAAAATTTAATAATTTTTTTTTGTTGTAAAGATGTGGCGCCATCTATGAATGCAGTTAACGTTAACTTACATCAAAGATAATAAACGCTCAATAACAGCAATAATGGGGGTGGAAGGGGCTGTTAAGTCTGTCATTAATGTGCCCAGTGTTCCAAACTGTCATCCCACAAAGTTTGGTTGAGAGTGGCCCAGTGACCTAGGAGTAGTTAGATAATGGACAGAAAAACTTTTTTGTGCTTTATATATATATATATATATATATATATATATAAA